AGGCGGAGGCAGGAGACTCGCTTGAGCCCAGGAGTTGGAGGTTGCTGTGAGCTGTGAGGCCACGGCACTCTACCCAGGGGGATAGCTTGAGGCTCTGTCCCCCCCCCCAAAAAAAAACAGTTTCAGGAAAAGAAAGAAAGAATACAGAAGGAAGCCCTCCCTCAGAATTGGTGGGAGAAAGAGAGGAAAGGAAGAAAACACCTTCCTGCTGCCTCTCAGTCCTCTGGAGTACAGTAGAGGCAACTGTGGCCTGTTGCCTTCCAGATGCTCCAGGTCAGGGTCAGGGTAAGAGTCAGGGAAAGCTCTGACCATTTTCCAAGACAGTGTTTCTGATCCCTCTCAAGCACCTCATAGTCCTAGCTTCTAGGCCATTTCTGAGTCAACTGCTACATGTGTCCACCCCAAGCCCAAGCATCACCAGCCATACCCACACCCCACTTGCATGCTAGGGGCCTTAAAAATTGGGGTCCTGGAGTGGAGGCTCCTCTGACAGTTATAAGAAAAAGAAACACTCCCAAGTAGAGAGGAAACAGCATGACAGAGGGGCAAGTGGTCAAGGTGCAGAAAAAGCAAGAAGGGATGTTGGTGGGGGACTGAGAGCTTGGAGGCCAGAGCCCCAGACTAGAGGCCCTCAGAGAATTCATATGGGGAATCCTCCCTGTGCCCAGCTAGGATCTTATCAAAGTGGGGACCAAGCCTCATGCAGAACACTGAAAGGTGGGTAGAGAAACCTGGCATGTTATGCTAATGCATCCAGGCTCTGTCAGGAGCCAGAAATCAATTTTATAGAAGAGAAAGACCAAGAAATGTGGGACCTGCAGCAGCAGATCACACAGAGATTGGGCAGGGAGGATGGATGGTGGAGAGCAGCAGTCAGCTTGGAGCTCTCAGTGGTCCCCATCCAAAGCTGGAGAGGGGTAGAGAGGCAGCAGGGTAGGTCAGCATGGCCAGCATGAAGCCAAGAGAATGACTTGGAGGGCAGGAAGTAGCAAATGGTTGGCCAGTTCCCAGTCTGCAAGAGTTGAGCTGGGGCCCAGAAGGGAGGAGCCACAGCGTATCTGTTCTGTCCCTACCTCCCTCAATAGGCCAGTGCAATCATGGCAGGCTCCAGGTGACACTGGCCTCAACTTCAATGCCTGTAGGAAGCAGTGGGAGACTCAGATCAGAGAGCACACAATCAAACAGCAGCCTTGGGAGCTCTGAGCACTGGTCTTGGGAGGGGGAGGGGAGGAAAACTGGAGGAGGAAAAGCTCTAAGAAGGACGTTCTAGTCCCCACTCTGCCCTATCCTGGCCCCAGCTCAAGTACCCACAGCCTCACATCAAACCTCTCTTTTGGTCTCCTGGTATTTGCCACCAGCTAGCCACCGCCCTGGGCACTTAGAGATAGGCACGAAGGAGTCAGAAGGTTGAGAGGCTTGACAGCTGGGAGAGGGCTCTCGCTCCTCCCCTACCACTGTTGTGGGGTCTCTGATCTCTCCCCATTCCTCAGGCAATTACAGAGCCAGCGATAAGCTTGTCAGCTCAGCAGGCCCCCTACCCCCATCAGCACCACCAAGGGCAAAGGAGGGGAGAACTCCACAGATGGAGCCAAGACCGGTCTGCCAAGGGGTGACAGACAGAGCGAGAAAGGCAGGAGGGAGCCAGGAGGAGGCAGGAGGGAGTGGGAGAGGCTGGGGAGTGCGGCTGGGAACAGGAGACAAAGACAAACATCAGAAACAGTGATAACTAAGATGGAGACTGTTAGGGAGAAGATGAGAAATCTAGAAACAGAAACCCAGGCAGTGGGGAAAGGGAGACAAGAGGAAAAAGAAGTACAAAGGGTGAGAGCCAGCCGCAGAAAGCACTACTGATAAATGGCAGAAAAAGCGAGGAGGGGTGCAGGTGCACATGCGCAGAAGGCGCCTGCACAGCATCCTTGTCCTTTGGAGGTGTGCCAAGCAAGGGGCGGGGGCAAAGGGAAGAGGAGCCTGGGTCAGTGGAGGGGGTTTCCTGGGCTGTCAGGCTGGACTGACAGCAGGGTGAAAAGACAGAGGTGGAGCCACGGTAAGCTGGGGCCAGAGAGCCCAACAAAGCCCACAGCGACAGGCAAGGCCCTATCCACTTGTGGCACTGGGGCAAGGATGCCTATAAGACAAGATGAATGACCCACTGCTGGCTGCTCTATGCTGTGTTAGGGAACAGGTGGAGGTCCCTGTGGCAGGGAGGGGTGGGAGAAGGACAATCACCCAGGGGACCCCAGTGAATTCTTCCAAGGTAGCTATTAGTGCAGAGTAGGCACTACCTGGCTAAGGGGAGATGCACAGCATGTGTTATTTGGGAAGTGGTGGCGTCTGGCTGGGACCTGAGTTGCTGTTTCCCTTCCTGAATGTCCAAGAGCACCCTGAGCATGCCCACTGCACACCCGCTGCAGCTCCCAGGCTTTACCCGGGGCTCTTCTCAAAGAAGCAACAAGAGACCCTTTGAGAGAGGAGCAAAAGATCTCCTGGCCCTCCTGCCCAGTGTCCGCTGGGGATGGCAGTGCCTGGTAATCAGATTGGCCAGAGCTGGGGCACGCTGGAGGCTCAGCACCCAGGCATATGGCAGGGTCTGAGTATGGGGTTCTGGGTTCATGCACTTGTAGGCTGGGGGGCAATGGAGGTCTTTGTACTCGTGGGTGTACATATGAGGGTGTTGGTATCACTGACACCCTATATTGTGTCCCTTTAAGGCTCTCCCTTGCCCTGCCCCCCAGGCTGTGGCTGGCGGGTTTCTATGGTGATGGAGCCTAACTCCCAGGCTAGCAGAGGTGGGGAAAGCCTTGCTTGGGTTATTTAGATAATACACAAAAGACGCTGCTCCAGGGGTCCCTCACAGGTACCCAGGGGCCTACAAGTATTGCCAGACCCAGCATACCACCCAGCCCCTCAGCAGCTTCAGGAATTGGTCTCCAAGGCAACTATAGCTCACCTGTAATGGATCATTCTCCTTAAAAGATGGGGAAGGAAAGGCTGGCAGGTGGCTCACCCCTGTAATCCCA